AACAACACCGGTTTCAACAACATTGAATTGACAACGGGTGAAAAATCGTTGTCTTTGGAAGAAACAACAACGGTTTAAAACCGTTGTCTATGTTCGTAACTTTTAACAACATCGGTTTCAACAACACTTAATAGACAACGGTTAAAAAACCAGTGTCGTTTCTAGAAAAGACAACGGTTATTAACCGTTGTCGACAACGGTTATTAACCGTTGTCTATGTGCGTGACTTTTAACAACACCGGTTTCAACAACACTTAATAGACAACAGTTAAAAAACCGTTGTCGTTTCTAGAAAAGACAACGGATATTAACCGTTGCCTATGTGCGTGGCTTACAACAACACCAGCTTCAACAACACTTAATAGACAACGGTTAAAAAACCGTTGTTGTTTCTTGAAAAGACAACGGTTATTAACTGTTGTCTATGTGCGTGACATACAACAACACCGGCTTCAACAACACTTAATAAACAACGGTTAAAAAACCGTTGTTGTTTCTAGAAAAGACAATGATTATTAACCGTTGTCTATGTGTGTGACTTACAACAACACCGGCTTCAACAACACTTAATAGACAACGGTTAAAACACCGTTGTTGTTTCTAGAAAAGACAACGGTTAAAACACCGTTGTCTATGCGCGAGACTTACAACAACACCGGCTTCAACAACAGAAATTATACTCCTACGACAACGGTTATTAACCGTTGTCTATGCGCATTTTTCTTGTAGTGTATTCTAATGATCTAATGAAGTTGGGCTTTAATTAATTCATTAGGCTAGAATTATAGAAGAATTGGCTTTAAATGAAAGAATTGATTCCCTCCTTAGAAAAATATTCGTAAGAGTAAACTCAGGAATTAGTATAATTTTCGGAATGTCACAAATCAGCTTGTAATTAACTCCAATATCAATTTCAAGATTTCATCTTGCATAGTTCTTAATAAAAGTTAAGTCTTTTTTGTTACTTTCCCTGCATTTTATTGCTTTCAATTGTGCTTGGAAATGTCTTTAATTTCAATTCATGCTTAGCTAGATTGAATTAGGGATTAGTCACCTTTTGTGATTGATGTTATGTGATGAATTGAGCTATGAGCTAGTGTAATGACTTGATGATGGTTCTAGTTGTGAGTTTGGCGTGGTTTGTGTTGACTCTTGTATGATTATGGTCACAAATGTGTAAGAGATGCATAGATAAGGTGTTGTCACTATGAGAATAGAGGAACATCATAGACACACCTTTCACTAGTCTAACTTTTCTTTGAAAAAATGGAGTTTGAAGGAGTTGTGAACACTACTATGTGTTTTATTAATTGCTTAAATTGGTTTAAGTTGCCATTAGAATGAGGCTGCAAACTAATTAAGAGCCTAATGTCCATGAGAGTGGCATTGGCACCTAGTAACATCTCTCTAGTTCCCTTGTCAAGGCATTACATGAGCTCTAGCCAATGACACACTTTAACATCTATTCAAAATTGTCATAGTCCAAGCCCTTCGTTTTACTATTAGTTCTTAAGTGCTTATCATTACACTTTACACTTAGGCTTTGTTTAGAAAGTCGGAAAATAATTTTTGCAAATCATTTTCAGGTTTCTAGTGTTTGGCAGGGGGAGGGGGGGGGGGGGTGGGTGTCATTTTCCGGAAAACCCAAATCAACTTTTTTTTCTATTCTCCATTTTCTGGTTTCGGAAGCTGGAAACCAAATTATCTGGTTTCCAGGTTCGGGAAATAGTTTTTATTTATTTATTTATTTTTAATGAAACCATTTCTCTTTTTAAAAAAAAAATATAAATAATATTAATGTTTTTTTAATACAATTCTGCTCATTTTCTGGAAAATAATCCAAACACACTAAGAAAGTTTTTTGAAATGCAACCAAACACGGAAAAGGGAATTGTTTTATGGAAAATGACTCATTTTTCGAATAACATTTTCCAGAAGTCATTTTTCAGGTTTCCAAACACACCCTTAGTTATTTCTTGATATCACTCAACTCACTCTTTGAACTAGCTTCCAAAGACTCTACACTCTTGTGCTTAATCACCCATTATTCAACCAATTTTTGGTCTACTCTTTAAGATGATATCCGGTGTGAGAATATTCACTTGCACTTCACTCCATTCCATCACCACTTATACTAAACTTTCAGCAGGTGTCCAAATATTTGGAAAAATAATTTATCAGCAGTTAAATAATACTCTTTTGAAAGAATGGAAATTATAATTCAATGAGACTCTTAAAAATTTTCCTTAATAGAACACATCTAGTGATTAATTGTTTATTAAAATTGAGCAAAAAAATTAATATGGTAAACAAATTGGTCAAAAGCTTGGTTGTTGGAATAGTGAACTACATGATTGAATGAGAAGCAGAGAGAACAAATTGAAGAAGAAGAAGAAGATTGTATTGAAGAAAACTTCACTTTACATTATATACACAGAAGAAGAAGAAAAGAACAAGATATGTAGAATGACAACTAACTCCCTATGCTAAATAAGAAGAAGATTGTATTGAAGAAAACTTCACTTTACATTATATACACAGAAGAAGAAGAAAAGAACAAGATATGTAGAATGACAACTAACTCCCTATGCTAAATCTGCTTATTTATTCTCATCCTCCAACACCCCCCCGTAAGCTGGAGCGTGTAGATCCTACATGCCCAGCTTAGATACAGAAGAGCAAAATGAAGGATCAATAAAACTGCTGCTTTTCATACCACTTCTCCATCATTTCAATATGGCCCTTGTTGCTAAATAAGCTCAGAATGATATTCATGGTCCATATATCAGGTTTGCATGTTTCACTCTCAAGCATCCCCAAGAACACCTTCTCCATCTCTTCATATCTCCCTGCATTGCAGCTACAAAACTTATGCGGCAAACAGAACAAATTTCTGTAGATCAAGTTCAACATTTGCAGCAGATCAGACATCCATCAACTCTGATCTTCTGCCGCAACCTGCTGCAAATCAGACCAGCTCCTCAGAGATTCAGAAAACCATTTCAACATCATTTCTAATTGCATTATTCCATCCTTATATCTGATTCTATTCTCCAACTGTCAACATCATCCAGAATTATTCAGACTGCCTATTCTCTGTTTACAGACAAAAAAATAGCCTTTGTTTCTGCCTCAAAAACTTCAGCAATTCTCCCAAATGCTCATATGCTACAGGCATGAAGAATCACTTCCCAAAGAAGGATCAACTTCATGGCAGCAAAATCAACTTCATGGCAGCAAAACACCTCAACTTTAAAAGTTTAAATGTTCTGCTGCAGGTTTCATTCTCATAGAACTCGGATCAGCTAAGGGCCTCATTTCCAACATAGAATCAACCACTTAACATCAACCACTTAGCCCCAGAATCAGATTAATCCTAACCCTTCCTTATTTTCTGTTCAACATAAGAATCCAACTTTGTAATTATCTCAAAGGTCCATCAAGCTTGGTGGACCTCACTTATTCCCCCACATTTCTGTAAACTTCAAACTTCACAAATTGTACACAATCAGCTCTATATCATTCATTCAAGCATGGTGCATCATTTCTCATTGTGAGATCAGCACCCTGGTAGCCATTCCTTCAACTTCATAAGCTTTGGGTTTGACTACAGCTCAGAAGATGTAAACCAGCTTTCATTCTTCTATTCTGCAAATCAGGACTTGTATAAGTAGTAAAACAGAAGAGCATACCAGAACATTCATGGGCAAGTTTCTTGTTAGTCAACTTTTCCAATGGAAGTGCAAACTCCATGGCATACAATGTATCTCTGCTTCTCAGCATCACCAGACTCCACCAGACAAATATCAACTCCTGGGCTATTTCCCTTCAATATCCGTACTAGCTTTGATTCATTTGAAGCATCTAACAACAATTCAGTGCTCTGTACTTGCCCAACAATATCAGCACCATCAGATTTTGGTCCTCCAATTGTTACATATGCAACAATTCTAAGAGCAATTGAATGCTCATTCAAAACAAACTTAAAATTGTTTAAAACTTTCAATAAATTCTGAGCTGTTACCTCCCGCCGCATCTCCTGCGGCTCCAATCCCGGCACCGTCTCCTCACCAACGGCGGTCATTGGCTCGAAGGTAACCGCGAGACAGAGAACTGTCGGCCATACTATTCTCCGTTTCTCTCCGAAATTTTGGATTGAAAGACACAACCACTGTGGCTGAATCGGAGGATTGTTCCATCTGTTTTTGGCTAAGAACTCCTTCCTTCCGTCGCGGAACGGTTGTGGAGGTCATCTGAATCTGAACTGATGATTGAATGACCGGAAACGACGAACAAGCTTCCTGGATCGCCTTCCGCTGCTGAACGACTACGGCTATGGCTGTCTGCTTCTCCGGACTTGGAATCCTCTGCGGATTAACCGGAATCCTCTGCGGATTAACTAAGATTGCACAGGGGCTATCGTTGCGGTTGATAATCAAAGGATTGTCTACTTCCTCGACGTAGTTCCTCTGATCTTGTGGTGAGAGATTCCTCTGCGAAATCGTACTTGAATGAACTGGCGATTTAGATGTCGGCGTCGCTTCATCGACTTCTCCGGCACCGGAAAATGCAGCAGCGTGGATGAGCTCCCGCCGCTCTGATACCATGTTGGAATAGTGAACTACATGATTGAATGAGAAGCAGAGAGAACAAATTGAAGAAGAAGAAGAAGATTGTATTGAAGAAAACTTCACTTTACATTATATACACAGAAGAAGAAGAAAAGAACAAGATATGTAGAACGACAACTAACTCCCTATGCTTAATAAGAAGAAGATTGTATTGAAGAAAACTTCACTTTACATTATATACACAGAAGAAGAAGAAAAGAACAAGATATGTAGAATGACAACTAACTCCCTATGCTAAATTGCTTATTTATTCTCATCCTCCAACAGTTATTGATATTTTTGTGATATTTAATTTTAACAAATTTCGAAGCTAGCCAAGTTGGTAATTTCAATTCATTTAAAAATTTGTCAAATATTATAAGTGCTCATACTGGATGTATATGACAATTAAGTCAAAAGAAAACAGTAAGTAGAAATGAAACAAGAACTCAGACCGAACAGGGGCGGGTATTAATGAATCAACATATCGATCAAGATTTGACAAACCTTGATTCTGCCTGGGAAATAAATTTTTGAAGATCATGGAGAATAGCACGGAATGCTTGATTCTTGGGAGTGAAAAAAATATGGAGCAAAGGTTTGTCCTTGAAGTGGTTGGTGGCATATGAGACTTTGAAGCTGCGGAAATGAACAGATTGGAAAATTGACCTGAAGAGGTCCATGTATAGTGGGAGTTGATTCATGGAAAAAAGTGTGACAGGCAAGCATGTGAGGATGTATATTGGAAAAGCCGCGACTTTGATATGCTCGGTGAGGACGAAGAAATGGCCCGCACAGAAGGAGATCAAGATGGCAGCAATTGAGGTGAAGAGACAGTTGAGTCCAAGCAGCAGCTTCCTGGGGAGATTGTTCTTGAAATCCTTTTGTTGGCAGCGGGAGGTGAGGATTGCGAGGAAGAAGACGAGGGCGGTGACTGAGAAGCCCAGAGCTATGAGTGATGAGACTGCGAATGCATCAAAGGCGGGCTGGCCTTTAAGAATGGGACGCCCAGTCTTATCATCCACCCCTCCAGGGATGGTTGCTGATGTAGCAAATGCCACAGTTGCAATCAGCGCAGCAATGACAGAGCAGGAGTTGGAAGTGGTGACCAGCCATTTGGTACCGCTTTTGGTAAGATCAGCATGCGTCTCTTTGAACACTTGCTCTGGAACCTGTCCTTTGTTGTTGAAACGAACATAGGATTCTCGTGCCATGTGTCCCTTCACGTACGGCATTCATTCATATATATGATATGATATTAACAATATATGCCCGCATAATATAATGAAATTATGTCGTGAACCTTAAATTAGCTGAAACTGAACTTCTACTTGATTTTTAAACTTATATTAGATTTTAATCGATTAATTTTTGTTATTTAATGATAGTAAATAACAGAAAATAAAAGCAGTAAGTAAATCAAGTACACAAAGATTTGTTACGCAGTTCGGAGCGATTCTCCTACGTCTGCGGGGCAACCCACGTCAGCCCAATCCACTATTGATGTTCACCAAGGAGTTTTACAATAGAACGGTACATTAAACTCTCACATGCTTAACTACCATACTACAAACAACCTTCCTAACATCCAACCTGGACCGTGACGTGCATGCCTTGATAACCTTCGAACAATACTTCAACTGAGTCAGGCGCAGGCAGTAGCTCAGCAGAATAATAATATAATTAATTCTCAATTCGTTAGCTGTGTTCACTTCTCAGAATAGTAACTCTAAAAAAAGGCAAGTTTCCACAACTAGTAACCTTCCTATTTATAGCAATAACTCTTTCATTAAACAGCCACGTGAATAGCTTCATTCCATGCTTGAATCATTCTCTGCCATTCATTTAAATCAGATCCTCATAATTAGCTTGAACCATATTTTAATCACTGACTTCCTCTTCATAGACATTAATTGTGAGCCACCCAATTAAAAAGACTCTTAAGATAAATAACAATGGTCAAAGAGTTTTTGGCTAATCCTAAGTCTATTATTTATAAAAATAAATTAGCCAATATAGGTTTAATGTGTACAAAATATGTACACTTACAATTTCCCCCTTTGGCAATTTATTTGGCAAAAACTATAGCATCTTATACTTTGGGCAAACAAGAAAGATACAATAATTTTATTAAAAGCCCTTAGTATATGTGCCATACGTACAATAACCTAAGATAAGAAAAAATTATTACCAAAATACTCTTGTAGACCATGTTCCTTGAACTCATAGTATTAATTTTCAAAGAATATGTGTGCTGTATATGAACCCCGAAAAACTTCAATATTCAGATAGAATAGTTGATCACCAATAGAAAAATTAGCTAAATAAAAGCTGATCATCCAATAACAATAGATTTTCTGTTTAGATAATAATAACCAATAACTGATAATAATAGTCATAAACTGAAGAGATATATAAGTCAGAGATTACCAAAAGAAGTGTAGCATAATAGAGTAGTAGACAAGCCATACTAAAACAAATTCCATATGTCGCAGTCATCATGCTTTCCTACTACTCCCCCTTTCTTGTATCTTCCCTTATTTCATATTCCAAAAAAGTTAACCAAATAAAACTCCCCTTTCTCATAAAACTCCCCCTTTCTTCAAAATCCTCTTTCTCATAAAACTCCCCCTTTCTTCAAAAACTCCTTTCTATTACTCCCCCTTTTTTGCCAAATAAGTGACAAAAAGGATCGGTGAACATAAAATCAGTGGATTAGACTAGTGAGTTGACGGGGTGCCCGACCATCTTTCCCGTAAAATAGCAAGAAACTTATCCAACATTCATCCATATTGATCAATAGTAATTACCATACACCAAGAAGAGAGAACAACTCCATAATAGTTCCTTTTTGCTTTTTACGAAATCTTTTGCCACATGAACCTGCACAAGTGAAAATAGAAAAGCGAAACACAGAACAGGGTACATGCAATCTTGAAAACGACTTACCAAATAACAAAGAAGCACAAAAATTCAAGAAATTTTCAATTTTGGTCAAACAAGACAATAAGATGATTCAGGCACAGAATCACAACAGATAGCATGAAAAACACACAACCAAACAAAAACACACACAGAGTAATAAACACATTAATCAAATTGCACCAAATTTATCATTCAAGCAAACATATTTTAACACAGAAACACCAACAAAAAGGCATAATCAAAGAATTATCAAAAACAACCAACACAACGTAGATATGACATTTAGTGAACACACAGAAACAGCCAATAACAAAACATAAAGAATAACCCAAGCAAATTAAACGAACACTTTAAAATAAATGAACATGTAAAGAGAAAGAATCTGAAAGATTAAAAGTACCTGATGATTTAATGAATCCAGAGATACACGTATATATATATAAACTAGAATGGATAATTTATGATCAAAAGGATATATGCACAATAATATCAAAACAAACATCATCTTTAGGGAATTCAAGATAAAGATAAGGTGGATAGATAAGGAACTAATAAGACCTGAACACTTGGCTTTTAAAACGTGAATTCAAGATAGTTTTTATGACTGCTTAGCCTTAAGACTTAATCTGCACACAAGAGAAAAAAAGATTAGTAACACTAAGTAATATTTATTTGTGAATTAGTGTACCTGAAATTCTATTAACACGGGCAAAAAGAAATTTAATTAGCTGGATTGCTGACGCCCTAATTTTTTATGCCACAACTCAGACTCATTTATGCTGGACCTGCAACAGAGGATATCATTTGTTAGAATATAGCAGCTGTCTGTTGATCGCTTACCTTCCATAACACATTGTTTTTCATTATCCATAACACTGCAGTTGTCTTTGGTGAAGCTAACATTCCAATTTTGGTCACAAAGTTGGCTAATGCTTATGAGGTTGGCCTGGAGTCCGTTTACCAGTAGCACCTTTTTCAACTTCGGTAGACCTGCAACATTTAGAGTACCTACTCCGGTTACTTGTCCTTTGACTCCATCACCAAAAGTTACTTCACCGTTGCTTGTGTTTATGTCACTTAGAAATTTTGCGTTTCCAGTCATGTGACGTGAGCAACCGCTGTCGAAGTACCATTTTTCATCCCTACCTGCACTTTTAGTGTGAAAGGATACAAAACTGATATAATCGGATTTCTTTACCCATACTTGTTTGATAAATGGAGTAATGTACTTATGGCTATGTTTTCGGCCCTTTGTTCTTTGTAGAAGTAATAACACTCAGGTCTGATGTGTCCTCGTAACCTGCAATAGTGACACACTAGATTATATACCTTATAGTTAAACTTGTTACGTATTGTACCTCGTGTTCGCCATACTGAGCTAGTGGCAAGTGCTGATTCACGATATTGTTTAGCTATGCTTGACTCAGGAGTATCTTCTGGACGTGGATCAGATGTCTTGACAAAAGTAGTTTTGTCTTTGTTGGTTCCTCCAGTAAAGCCAATACCAAACCTTGCACATGATTGCCGTCCAGAACTAAGAATTTCATCAAGAGTTGAAGTGGTATCCATCATTTGGATTTTCTTTTTGTAAGTACTCAGTTCCAGCTTCAGTTCCTTGACTTCCTGTTTCAGTTTGTCTTCTCGGTCAGTGTATTCTTTAATTAATGCGTCCCTATCTGCTACTTGACCTTTGAACACGTTTACAGCATTTTGCAATACACTAACTTCACTAGACACTATACGATTTGCTTTAAGTAATGCTTCCCACTTTGGATACAACTTGTTAAACTCTACTTCATAAGATAAATCTGGTATTTCATGGTCTTCCGCCGAGTTGTATTCACCACCCTCCGTGTCAGATGCATCTCCAGGTTCTGAACATGTCGCAACTCTAGTAGTAAAAGCTACAAAATTACCGAACATTTCTTCTGCGCCAGAGCCAGCAGCTTCTGATTCAGGTTCGTCATCACTCCAAGTAGTGGCTATCATGGACTTCTTTCGCCTAAGATAAGTTGGACATTCAGCTTGAACATGACCAAAGCCCTCACACTCGTAACATTTTATTCCTTTGTTGTTTGATTTTCCCCTGGAGCGGGCTGGACGTGAGGTAGCAGGTTTTGAGTTTGACATGCTAGTTTTTGTATTAGTTTTCGACATGTTTGAGCTTGCTCCTTTTTGAATTTTTTTGTTTTGTGAATTCTTCTGAGATATCTGTTTCAAAAAATTAGAAAATTGTTTTGTTAAAAATGTAACTGGATCATCACCTGATTCGTCTGGGTTAGCGGTATCATCATGTTCTTCAGCGACAAATGCAACTGTCTTTTGTTTTTTGGTGTGATCAGTAAGAATTTCCATTTCGTAGGTTCGAAGATTGCCCATTAGTTGAGCCACTGATTTGTTCTCCCAGCCATCATGTTCTTGAATAGCGGTTACCTTCATCCTGAATCTCGGAGGTAAAGATCTTAGGATTTTTTTTTGACAAGTTTTTCTTGGGAGAAAGGTTTCCCAAGAATTGCTGCTCGATTAGCTAACTCTTGTATGCATTCGTGAAAACTCGCAATATCTTCGTCATTGTTCATATGTAGTTCTTCAAATTCAGTCTTTACCAGTTGAAGCTTTGACTGTTTGACTGAACTCGTACCTTCATAGGTGGTTTCGAGCATTTCCCACGCAATTTTTGCACAATCAATACCTGTAACCAACGAAAATTGATTTTCATGCATTAAGGAATAGATTGTGTCAAGAGCCTTATCGTTATATCCAGCAGTGGTAATTTCAACTTGAGTTCTCTCAGTTTCAGGTTTTATCACTGGTGGATCACCGTCTTTTTCTCCAGGTTTTGTAGGTGGTGTCCAACCAGTCAGTACCGCCCGCCAAATCTGATCTCCTTGAGCTTTAAGGTGAGTTCTTGTTCGAGCCTTCCAGTATGCATAGTTGTCACCTGTAAGCTGGGGAGTGACCTGAACCTTTCCATTCTGAAACACTTAGCAACAAGTGAGATTGAACAAAGTAATAACAAGAAGAACAGTATTAAAAACCGCAGAACACTAAAAAATAAAGCACACGTAAAAGCCAGATCGAAAGACTAGTAACTTAAGCCTCCAGGCTCTGATACCAATTGAAATTATGCTGTGAACCTTAAATTAGCTGAACCTAAACTTCTACTTGATTTTTAAACTTATATTAGATTTTTATCGATTAATTTTTGTTATTTAATGATAGTAAATAACAGAAAATAAAAGTAGTAAGTAAATCAAGTACACAAAGATTTGTTACGCAGTTTGGAGCGCTTCTCCTACGTCTGCGGGGCAACCCACGTCAGCCCAATCCACTATTGATGTTCACCAAGGATTTTTATAATAGAACGGTACATTAAACTCTCACATGCTTAACTACCATACTACAAACAACCTTCCTAACATCCAACCTGGACCGTGACGTGCATGCCTTGATAACCTTCGAACAATACTTCAACTGAGTCAGGCGCAGGCAGTAGCTCAGCAGAATAATAATATAATTAATTCTCAATTCGTTAGCTGTGTTCACTTCTCAGAATAGTAACTCTCAAAAAAGGCAAGTTTCCACAACTAGTAACCTTCCTATTTATAGCAATAACTCTTTCATTAAACAGCCACGTGAATAGCTTCATTCCATGCTTGAATCATTCTCTGCCATTCATTTAAATCAGATCCTCATAATTAGCTTGAACCATATTTTAATCACGGACTTCCTCTTCATAGACATTAATTGTGAGCCACCCAATTAAAAAGACTCTTAAGATAAATAACAATGGTCAAAGAGTTTTTGGCTAATCCTAAGTCTATTATTTATAAAAATAAATTAGCCAATATAGGTTTAATGTGTACAAAATATGTACACTTACATATAATATAATATATATAATGTTACATGTATATATACCTTATAGTATTTCAATTCTCCTTACAATTGCAATGCAGCACCAGGCATGCGCCAATTCTGTTGACCATTGTACATTGCAGCAAGGTGCACAGCACTGTTTCCCTCGTTATCCACTTGATAATACACAAATTCTGGTAGTGATTTTTTCTTCTCTAGTAGGAAATCATAAACCGCCGTTTGCCTGTTGTCTATAGCTATAAGTAAGAGGTTCTTCTCATTGGCATCCACATCTTGAATGGCAACTGGGAATGTTTCAAGTATTTTCTCTACAATCTCCTTAATTCCAACCTTTGTTGCTGCTAATAAAGGTGTCTCCTTGTTCTCGTTTGTCTCTGTATGTGCCCAACTTCAAAGTTGCATCAGCTGGATGGGAATATATATTATATATATAGAAGAATATAGGGTTTCCTTTTATATATATATATATATATATATATATATATATATATATATATATATATATATATATATATATATATATTAGAGATAACCAATCTGGCGTTAAAGAAATAGATCTATAATGAGATTAATTGGGGAATTAAAAACGTGTGCATATGAAACATTTTGATGTATGCCAAGCATGTATACCTGCTTAATTCCTCCAATTAATCTTATCTATATATTTATTTTTTTAATGCACCAAATTAGTTCTCATGCACTCATAGAAGGTTAAACATATATGCTAATACTATATATGCATCCATGCATCAAGAAAATTGAGTACACATGGAGTTTTTACCCAATCCATTCTCATTTTTCTTCATAATGGTTTCAGGCTTTGCATAATTGGTTGAAGTTGGTGATTCATCTATTGTGGTGGAGTGCTTGGTGGTTCAATTCCAGTAGATTCTCTTGCAGCATCTTCTGGAGGTCTCCCCCCAGTATACTGGTACTTGTAGCTAGATTCTTTCTCAATCAATTCATTCATGATCTGGACTGCCCATGTGTTCATTTCCTTCTTGTCCTTAATTTTCCTTATCCTTCCAAATCCTAGACTGTAACACCCCAGATTTTCAAGACATTTAAAACATAAAATAAAGGTAGAATCTTATTAAATCCCAAGAAATAAATACAAGCGTTCGGGGTGCTATGCCACACCTGGGCTAGAGAACCCAAGTGCACAGGCTAACTAACTAATATACTCAAAGCGTAAATACGTAAACGTGGCACGCAGGCCAAAAAGGGAAACTATCTACTTCTAAGTTCTAGCGCACTCCAGTGACTTAATCTTCTGTGCCTGAAAGTCAAATATATCTGTTCAGTGAGAGATGCTGGTAACCCACTCCAACGCGTTGAAATACAATACATATAGAGATATATATAGATATACGAAAACCATTTTGAGCATGAAGATATACCCTACGAACTCTAGCTTTAAAACCGGGAATGACTCGACAGATAAGGCCAGACACAAGCACAGTTACAACGAGCATATGCAGTTCACAACAGATAAGGCAGATAAGGCAAAGCATAAACAATGATCATAACCCAGCATGAACAATCCCCAATATAAATCCCATAGTCACATCCCCCAAGACACTCGTAATCACAACTCGTCCATGTCACAACACATAGCACACTTTGTTGGCGCCACAGGACCAATCGCATGCCCATACATGAGGATCAGCGCATATAGCTCTGACACGGCCCCGCAGCACCCTGCCCCGTATCGCAACACGGAGGGGTCGATCGCAACCGACCGATGAACCGCAGCTCATCATAATGTTTGATCGCAACCAAACAGTGGACCGCAGCCCAAGAGAGTGTGTCATCTGACTGTAGCCAGGAATTCCCATCTGACTACAGCCAGCCTCTGAACCGCAGCTCAGGAAAATGTCATCTGATTGCAGCCAGGAATTCCCATCTGACCACAACCAGCTTCTGAACCGCAGCCCAGGATACCGTCATCCGACTACAGCCAGGAATTCCCATCTGACTATAGCCGGCTTCTGAACCGCAGCTCAGGATAACCAATCCGATCGCAACCGAATTGGGGTAACACGCACACATAACACATAGCAAGCACATGCAACCCACATTACACATTGGGAAGGGGGATAAAGCGTATAACAACCTTATGCGTGATCCATCACGTACTAAGAATAGTCCTAAGGGGTTCATACTTCTTCCACCTAGGTCAACGGGATACCAATTCAACTAGCATGCAATATAATAGACTCATAAACCTACGAACGGTACCCGAAATATCAAACTAGACATAGGCACGACAAACGGGGTCCGTTGGGACACCACGGGGATCGGGGAAACATCAAACGGGGAAGCCGGGGTCCCGAGGGGGGGAAGATTCCAGCGGGTAGCCGGTGGGTGGGGGTCACCCGCCGGACAATACTGTTCCGGGCAGTGGGTCGCCGGCGGGCAGCTGCCCGCCCGCCGGCTGCCCGCTGTCGGAACAGTGTTCTCGGCCGTGGGTAGGTGGCGGGTCCCCTACCCCCCACCTACCCCCCACTAACTCTTTTCATCAACTTTTTACCCCGGGAACCGTTGTGGAACCCGAAACCATGCTTAGACACTTTACAACGTAATTCACGGCAACACGTAGACAATTAACGGATCAAATACGAGAAACGAGCGACACTTATCCTATCATGCTTTTCTAAACATAATCAACTCCCAAACATGCGATTTCCCACCCGATAATCCAAGAATAATATCATACGATACAACCTATGGTTCTAATCACTTTTATGTTAACAAGAATACGATTCGTCTTCTAATTGCAAGATTCGGTAAGAACAACACATAATCATCAAGGATACCAATTAATCATCAAGAACATCATAATTATCAAGAAATTCCCAATATCAAGATTATCAAGATTCCTCATAGAATCATCACATCAACATCAATAATAAACACAACAACTCGCCATTCACAATAATGTGGGGGGAAACCCTAGGGGGAAATTATAGCTATGAAAATAGGTTATGTTGAGACATGGGTTACCTCTTAGCCTTAATTAATTCCTTGGCTATGAAGGGTCTTTCTTTAAGCTTTCTTGCTTTCTTGATTTCTTCTAAGGGGATTCTTGGAGCACTTTGGGGTGGTGGAACGTTTATTGTGGTGGGGGGTTCTAGGTGCCTCTTAAGTCCCCTATTTATATATTTAGGAGTCCTGGTTAGGAACTAATATTATAGGCTTGCTAATTCTATTCCTTTTGGAACTAAGGATTGGGTTTAGGGATAAGGGTCCATGGTCCATAGTGGACCATAATAATTAATTAAAGGGAATCCTAATCGTAGTCTGAATAGTAAAAGGCCTACTTCCTTTATTCCTAATAGATAACTAGGTCTAGGATTCCTAATTAGAATCTGAATAGTAAAGGGTTTACTTTCTTTATTCCTTATAGGCTTAGGACTCTAATTTAGGCAAGGGTCCACGGTTCATGGTGGACCTTTATTAATTAATTAAAGGAAACCTAACCGAATTAAATCATATTTAATTATTATTAACGGGATTAATTTAATAATTAATCCGGGATTGAAGGCCGTAACACGGGGTGTTACATAGACACACACACACACACGCACACACACACACACACACACACACACACACACACACACACACACACATATATATATATATATATATATATATATATATATATATATATATATATATCACATACAGTTTAGTCATTAATGGACATACAATTTAGTCATTAATGGAAGGAAGGAATGAAGGAAACCAAATCATTCAAAAACTCAAACAATCAAATCAAACTACACTGACCGGTTCCCAACATAATCAACACAACCTTCACAGAAGCTTGAAAAGCATAACAGTTGTGGTGTAATTTTCCGGCAATGTGCCTTGAGTTCTTCTTGTTGATATTTGACAGAATCTGACTTTATGCTCTGCTGCCTCTGTACATTTGAAGTTATCAGAAACTTCAAATAATAATTTCTTAGAAAGTAAATGCGTGAGGTGTGTGGACATGGAGGACGTGGAGCACTGGAGCATTTCATGGAGCATTAATTCCCTACACTTTAGCATTCTAGTTATTTCACTTGCTATAAATATGTTTTGTTTCAAAGCATTTTACATTACGAAGCAAAGAGCAATAAACATTATTATTTCTCTCTCTATCTCTCTTCTCAATTATATATACATAGATATATTATATTTAATATATCTTACATTTAGTATCATAGCCAATCAACCTTTCAACCCCGAGATGTTTTCCGTAGTGAATTATGGCAGCAAATTTCAATATTGTATGATCGGGTCCCAAATTGAATGGGAAACTCGATTATAATTATTGGCAAATTATCATGTCTACACATTTGAAAGCTCAAAATCTTTGGAGCTTTGTTAATCTCGGTCTACCTGAAGGAGCTGATGCAGCCGCTACCAGCCGAGATCAATTGGCCTTGGAACAGATTCACCAAGGTGTTCATTACTCCATTTTTGGACAATTAGCTCGTACTCAAACAGCAAAGCAAGCTTGTGACATCTTAAAGGTGTCAAACAAAGGAGTCGATCGGGCACATAAGTTTAAGTTGCAGTCGTTGAGAAGGTTGTACGATAACAGTGAGATGACCTCTACAGAAACAGTAGATACGTATTTAACTCGTCTTATTGATATGGTGAATAAGATGAGGTTATATGGAGATATGATTGAAGCTGGCGCAGTGGTTGAAAAAGTTCTTCGAACTATGTTGATTAAGTATGACCATGTGGTGGCTTCAATCACAGAGTCACACAAAACCGAGCTCTTCTCAATTGCAGAGCTGAAAGGTATGGTAGAAAGTCATATTGACAGAATTGCGTCAAAATCGGAACCACTAGCAGAAGAAGCTTTGAAAAGCCAAGTCACCCTTAATGTGACAGGCACTAATCAAAGAGGTGGAGGATCTGGTAGATGTCGTGGAAGATAAAGAGGAGGTTCTAGTGGAAGAGGTCGTGGTAACTCCAACCAAGGAGGAGGACGTGATAACTTCAACGAAGGAGGAGGACGTGATAGCTCCAACCAAGGAAGAGGCGGAGGTAATACCAAACAAGGTAAATTTCCATTTCATTGCTACAATTGTGGCAAGTATGGACACAAGATTGCAGATTGCTGGTATAATGAGGACAATCGTGGAAATCAAGAAAACATTGTTGAAAACACTGCTGAAAAGTCTTGTGAGAGTTTTGAAACCTTACTTTTGGCCAGCTCGCTTACAAGATTATGTTTTGGCTCATGATAATGACCTGTCTGATGAAGAGATTGTTCAATTTGCTCTCTTTGCAGATTGTGATCCTTTATCTTTTGAGGAGGCTGCTACAGAAAATCATTGGCTTAATGCGATGGATGAGGAGATACGTGCCATTGAAAAGAATGGTACATGGGAGTTAATAGATTTACCTCCTAGAAAGAAGCCAATTGGAGTAAAGTGGGTTTACAGACGAAGTACAAGTCAATTGGAGAAATTGACTGTTTTAAGGCACGGTTGTTAGCAAAAGGTTACAAGTAGAAACCAGGTATTTATTATTTTAACGTTTTTGCTCCACTTAGTAGACTTAATACATGTCGAATGGTTATTTCTCTTGCTGCTCAAAATGATTGGAAATTGCATCAAATGGATGTCAAGTCTGTTTTTTTGAATGGTTTTCTTGAAGAAGAAATATATGTTGAGCAACCTGCAGGGTTTGTGAAGAAATGGGAGGAACATAAAGTATACAGGTTGAGAAAAGCCTTGTATGACTTAAAGCAAGCGCCTAGGGCATGGTATGGTTGCATTGACTCTTATTTTGTTGAAAGTGGTTTTATGAGATGTTCTCATGACCACACTTTGTATGTCAAATGCACTGATTATGGTGATATTGTTATAATTTGTCTCTATGTTGATGATATGGTTTTTACTGGAAATAACTTGAAGTTAATCTCAGAATTCAGGGAGGCACTCATTAAGAGGCTTGAAATGATTGATATGGGCCTTATGTCTTACTTTTTTGGCCTTAAGGTTGTTCAGATGGATGGTGGGATCTTTATTTCACAAAAGAAATATGTTGATGATATTTTGAAAAAGTTCAAAATGGAAAACTCCAAACTAGTTTCAACTTCGGTAGCTGAAAAGTTAAAGGTATCAAAAGATGAGTGTGTTAAGAATGTGAATGTTACAGCTTATAAAAGCTTAATTGGAAGTTTGAGGTATCTGGTGGCAACAAGGCCAGATATTTCTTTTGGGGTTGGAATACTTAGCAGATTCATGGAGGAACCAAAAGAATCACATTGGGCTGCAGCAAAGCGAATTTTGAGATATGTCAAAGGTACGAGTAATGATGAAATTTTTTACTCTACTAATGAAGTTGTGGAACTTGTTGGATATACAGACAGTGATTGGGCTGGAGATATTGAGACCAGAAAAAGCACATCAGGGTATGCCTTTTATCTTGGTTCAACTATATTTTCTTGATCTTCAAATAAGTAGCAAATTGTAGCACTTTCAACCGCAGAAGCAGAATATATTGCAGCAGCAAACTGTGTTACTCAAGCAGTTTGACTGAGGAGAATTTTGGAGTTCTTACAACACAAGCAGGAAACACCTACAACTATTTTTTGTGACAACAAATCAGCAATTTCGTTGTCCAAGAATCCTGTCTTTCATGGTCGCAGCAAGCATATTGATATCAAGTATCACAAAATCAGAGAGTTGGTTGCTGAAAAACAAATCAACATTGAGTATTGTTCGAGTGAATGTCAAGTTGTAGATATCTTTATGAAACTGTTGAAGACGGAGACATTTCTTAAATTGAAGAAGGAAATTGGATGACTAGTATATCCAACTTGGTTTAAAGGAGGCAATGTTATAATAATAATATTATTATAATTATTAAACCAATGTCTAATTAGTTTGTTAGAATTTAGAAAGTAAATACGTGAGGTGTGTGGTCGTGGAGCACTGGAGCATTTCATGGAGTATTAATTCCCAACACTTTAGCATTCTAGTTATTTCATTGCTATAAATATGTTTTGTTTCAAAGCATTTTACATTACGAAGCAAAGAGAAATAAACATTATTATTTTCTCTCTCTATCTCTCTTCTCAATTATATATACATAGATATATTATATTTAATATATGTTACAGATAAGATCAGATAGTGTTAATTACCTCCAGATTTCCTGCTTTCTTGTTCTGTGGGATCAGTTTTATTTGCATCTGTTTCCCTACTAGCATTACCTATTCCAATAGCAAGTACGTAAAAATAGAAGAATCTTGATCGATCAGGAACTATGATCATGTATTTCCCTTATTAAATGAAAACACAAGCTGCAAACTTCTGTTAGAGATTTATATAGTAATGAGAGTTAATGGTTCAGATGAACTACCATGAAAAGCTTAAATAATATTTGGAGTTGTGGAGTTATAAATATTATTTTAGTTTGGTAGAAAGTAAGTTGGGAAATATGAATGTTGCGTACAAATCATTGTGCACAAATCATTATTCAAACGATGGTTTCGGTTGTGTCAAATTCGTTAATTTAACGAATCGAAAGATTCGGGTTTAACGAGTTGATGGCATGCATTTTATTCATTTCGTTGGATTACACGAATCAATGCTTTCGTTGGTTTTAATATAATATATCGTGTTGGCTTATGTTGCTTAACATATGGAAACTTTCGTTGGTTAAAGCCAAATGGCTTCGTTGGTTAAAACGAAATGATTTCGTCCTAAATAATGAGGTTCACGAATCTATGCATGAAATGATTTGCACCTTTCGGCTAAATGAATTTAACGAAAGCTTATTTCAAAAGCTCTTTGGTTTGTGTCTAAAGCATGCATTTAAGTATTAATATATATTACTTATTTATTTATTTATTTTGCATGTTTGCATGCAATGAGTTAATAAATATATAATATATGTATTTTTTACTTTGTTATTTTGTATGCAGTGCATGAACCTACGGAGGTCCATATCATATGAATATATATAATATTCAATTATATATTTCTCATGCCTGATATATCAGATAAGATATATCTTATGGAAGTTGAGTTTTAAATTCAAATAATTAACTTCCATGTAACTTCTCCAACAATTATATTTTGCATCTATAAATATGTGGAGAAACATTTGAAGAATGACAAGCAATAAACTTGCAATAAACTGAGTTAATTCACTGTACTGCATTTCAACAGGAAGTTCTTTCATCGTCTTTTTGTATCCCATATGATTAAATCTTGAACCTTGATGCTTTATATAAGGGAGATTTAAAGCTTATAGAAAAGTGATCACACGCCTGAAGATCCTGTTTCCTCACTTCCCTATCATCAAACACTCCATATTTCTAACAATCTATAAGCTTTAAAATTCTGTTTCTGAGGAAGGATGAGTTTTGGACTTCTGGACTTTGCAACCAACTTCCCTAAGTTGGAGCAGTTTGAAGGCGTGGGCTTCCTTAGGTGGCAGAAGAAGATGAAGTTCCTCCTTGCGGCTCTGAACGTGGCATACGTACTAAGTACCCCAATGCCGGAGGAACGAGAGGATGAGACTCTTGAGGCTACTCGCCGGAGACTCAAATGGGAGAATGATGACCTTGCTTGCCGCGGCCATATTCTGAACGGTATGTCTGACACTCTCTTTGATATTTATCAGTATGAGGAATTCTCAAAGGACCTCTGGGATGTACTTGAAGCAAAGTACATATCTGAGGATGCCTCCAGTAAGAAATTCCTGGTAAGTGAATTCAATGATTATAAAATGGTGGACAATGGTTCGGTTATGGAACAATTCCATGAGATTGTCAGGATACTTGGGCAAATGAGGCAACATGATATGCATATGGATGATTCCATTGCCATAGCCAGTATCATTTATAAGTTGCTTCCTTCCTGGAAAAAGGTACAACGTTCCTTAAAGCATAAAAAGGAAACTCTTACCATGGAACAGTTGGGGGTCGACCTTCGGGTTGAGGAGGGAATCAGACTGCAAGAAAGTAAGAATGCAGGCAGTGCAAAAGTCACCGGGGCTTCAGGTTCTGTCATCAACTATGTTGATGAAGGCAAATCAAGTGGGAACCGTAAAGGAAAAGGGAAGCCGGGAAAGGCCACAAATTCTTCAAAGTTTAAGAAGAAAGGAAAAGGAAAAGGAAAGGCATCTGTATCATGCTAGGTGTGCAACGGTCCACACTTTAAAAAAGACTGTGAAATCTGAAAGAAAAGAAAGGCACAATTGGAAGGTAAAAATTCTGGTGATCATGGCCAGGGAAGTGGCCAATGGAAACAAGGTAAAATAGTTAATCTTGTTTCTGATAGTACTGAAAATTTCATTGCTATGATATCTGAAATTTGTGTCATGCAGACTGATGACTCATAGTGGGTTGACACTGGGGCAACCAGACATGTCTGCAAGGATATAAATCTTTATAAAATTTATAAAAGTCTGAATGATGGTCCAAGCCTGTACATGGGAAATGATTCCATGGTGAAAGTCAAAGGCATTGGACAAGTTGAGTTGTTGCTTACTTTAGGAAAGAAGTTGACACTCACAGATGTGTATCATGCCCCAGATGTTAGAAAAAATTTAGTTTCTGGCATTGTATTAAACAAGTGTGGTTTTAAACTTGTTTTTGAAGCAGATAGATTTATTTTATCCAAGGCCGGTATCTTTGTAGGCCAAGGATTTCTATCAAATAATATGTTAAAGTTGAATATTAATAATATTGTTGGTTCTGTGCATTCAGTTTGTACATCTTCATTATGGCATTTTCGTTTATGTCATGTAAACTATAAACGTGTATGTGAGATGGCTAAAGATGGATTAATTCCATCATTTGATCTGAATATGGAACAATGCAGTGCATGCATGTTAAATAAAATAACTAGGAACCCTTTTCCTAGTATAAAAAGGAATTCAATTTTACTTGAATTAATTCACAGTGACTTGTGTGATTTTCATAGCACCCCATCTTTGGGAAATAAAAAATATATAGTCACATTCATTGATGACTATTCAAGACTCTGCTATGTGTACCTCCTGCATTCTAAGGATGAAGCCTTAGAAAAATTTAAAATATTTAAATTGGAGGTGGAATTGCAAACTAGTCAGTTAGTAAAAATTTTACGTACTGACAGAGGTGGTGAATATTATGACCCATTATTTTTCCAATCTGTTGGTGTCATTCATGAGACCATAGCTCCTTATACACCACAACAAAATGGTGTAGCAGAAAGGAAAAATAGAGTACTCAAAGAAATGGTAAACTGCATGTTATCAGTTTCCGGTCTAAGTGAAGGTTTCTGGGGAGAAGCCATGCTAACTGCATGTTATATTCTCAACAGAGTTCCTAACAAAAGAAATAGGGTAACTCCCTATGAACTTTGGCACAAAAGAAAACCAAACTTGAATTACTTGAAAGTTTGGAGTTGTAGGGCCGTGGTACGGTTGCCGGAACCTAAACGGAAGGCTCTGGGAGAAAAAGGCATAGACTATATTTTTATAGGATATGCAGAACACAGCAAAGCATACAGGTTCTATGTTATAGAACCAAATGATTTTATTTCGGTTCATACCGTAATAGAGTCCCGGGATGCTATCTTTGATGAAAATTGTTTTTCATCAATAAATAGAACTAAAGATTTAATTCCCAGTTCTAGTGGGACCAAAGTTGATGATCAAATTCATGATCATGCAAGTTCACAGGAACCTGAGCTTAGAAAAAGTAAAAGAACAAGAAAAGAAAAAACATTTGGACCAGATTTCCAAATGTACCTGATAGAAGGATCAAGGGAGTCTACAGAGACTAAAAATCTATATTATTTTAATATAGAGGATGATCCTAATACTTTTGAGGAAGCCATGAATTCTGAAGATGTTGCTTTCTGGAAAGAAGCAATAAATGATGAGATGGATTCTATAATGGGGAATAATACGTGGATTTTAACTAATCCACTGAATGGTTGTAAACCAATAGGCTGCAAGTGGATTTTCAAAAAGAAAATGAAAGTTGATGGTACCATTGATAAATTTAAAGCCAGACTTGTCGCACAGGGCTTTAAGCAGAAAGAAGGAGTTGACTTCTTTGACACTTATGCTCCAGTAGCAAGAATTGCTACTATTAGATTGTTAATTGCCATTTCGGCTATACACAATCTAGTGGTTCACCAAATGGATGTTAAGACTGCATTCTTAAATGGTGAATTGGAGGAGGAGGTTTTCATGAAGCAACCAGAAGGTTTCGTGGTTGCAGGCTAAGAAAATAAAGTTTGCAAATTGATTAAGTTACTTTATGGCTTAAAACAAGCCCCTAAGCAATGGCATGATCGGTTTGATCAAGTGGTGCTAGCTAATGGGTATAGAATAAATCAGTCAGATAAATGCATCTATAGCAAATTTAATAACCAAGGACAAGGGGTTATTATTTGCTTATATGTAGATGACATGTTGATTTTTGGTACTGATTTGGAAAAAGTTAAGGAAACTAAGGATTTTCTTAGTTCCAGTTTCTCCATGAAAGATTTAGGAGAAGCAGAAGTTATTCTTGGAATAAGAATAATTAAACTTCAGGATGGTGTAAGTTTAACACAATCTCGATCATTACATTGAGAAAGTGTTAAAAAGATTTAATCACTTTAGCGGTTCCCCAGTTTCTACTCCAATGGATCCTTCATTGAAGTTAATTCCTAATGAAGGTGATCCAGTCTTACAATTGGAGTATTCTAAAGTGATAGGATGCCTTATATATGCAATGACAAGTACTCGGCCTGATATTGCTTTTGCAGTAGGAAAACTGAGTAGATACACTAGTAATCCTAGTGCAGTACATTGGATGGCATTAAAAAGAATTTTAAAATATCTGAATAAAACCATTAATTATGGTTTAAAATATTCAAAAGATATTTCCATCCTTGAAGGATATTCTGATGCCAGTTGGATATCTAATCAGGAAGATTATTCCTCAACTAGTGGATGTGTATTTCTGCTTGGAGGAGGTGCTATCTCCTGGGCTTCTAAAAAGCAAAGTTGTATTTCAGACTCAACTATGGCATCTGAATTTATTGCATTGGCAGCAGCATGCAAAGAAGCTGATTGGCTACGGAATTTAATTCTTGAAATTCCAGTTTGGCCAAAACCGATGTCACCTGTTTTAGTACATTGTGATAGCGCTACTACACTGGCCAAAGAATATAACAGTGTTTATAATGGCAAGTCAAGACACATAGGCTTGCGACATAGCTATGTGAAAGAGCTCTTAAGTAATGGTGTTGTAGCACTAGACTTTGTATGGTCCCGGTTCAATCTAGCGGATCCGTTTACAAAAGCCTTGGCAAGGGACATGGTTTTAAAGACATCGGAAGGGATAGGTTTGAAACCCGTTGTTAGTCAAGAGATGAAGGAAAGCTCAACTCACGCCTAAGTTATCACGTTAGGCCTTGAGTTCAATGTAGATGATTACTTCATTTATTGGCGGCAAGTACTATATTAAAAGGTATCCCTAAAGTAAGTACTTGGTCTGCATTGTAGTAGGGATGAGTTTTACTATATACTCTTAATTGATCTTTTGAAAAAATGCTTGGTGCAGGGCATGAAATAAAAGATCAGCCTATGTGATCATGAAGTGTGGCCGCTTCAACAAATTTGGGTTTAGCTTGGAAATGCTTATGAATGGATACAGACACAGGGCCTTTAATAGTGTCAAGTTATTTTGAGTTGTAGTAACTGTAAAGCTTGTGTGTATTATATCTACGTTTCTTCAAAGAGACTGCGTGATTCAAGGTTCGTCCATCACTGCAATCCGAATTAATGTAACACATATAATACTATGTGAAAGTTCAATCTGTAAGACACTTTCATTTATGCCTGAGTTTTGGATCTATCTTGGTACAGTGTTAATTTTTACTATATAAATGGAGGAGGAATGTTAGAGATTTATATAGTAATGAGAGTTAATGGTTCAGATGAACTACCATGAAAAACTTAAATAATATTTGGAGTTGTGGAGTTATAAATATTATTTTAGTTTGGTAGAAAGTAAGTTGGGAAATATGAATGTTGCGTACAAATCGTTGTGCACAAATCGTTACTCAAACGATGGTTTCGGTTGTGTCAAATTCGTTAATTTAACGAATTGAAAGATTCGGGTTTAACGAGTTGATGGCATGCATTTTATTCATTTCGTTGAATTACACGAATCAATGCTTTCGTTGGTTTTAATATAACATATCGTGTTGTCTTATGTTTCTTAACATATGGAAACTTTCGTTGGTTAAAGCCAAATAGTTTCGTTGGTTAAAACGAAATGATTTCGTCGTAAACAATGAGGTTCACGAATCTATGCATGAAATGATTTGCACCTTTCGGCCAAATGAATTTAACGAAAGCTTATTTCAAAAGCTCTTTGGTTTGTGTCTACAACATGCATTTAAGTATTAATATATATTACTTATTTATTTATTTATTTTGCATGTTTGCATGCAATAAGTTAATAAATATATAATATATATATTTTTTACTTTGTTATTTAGTATGCAGTGCATGAACCTACGTAGGTCCATATCATATGAATATATATAATATTCAATTATATATTTCTCATGTGTGATATATCAGATAAGATATATCTTATGGAAGTTGAGTTTTAAATTCAAATAATTAACTTCCATGTAACTTCTCCAACAGTTATATTTTGCATCTATAAATATGTGGAGAAACATCTGAAGAATGACAAGCAATAAACTTGTATTAAACTGAGTTAATTCACAGTACTGCATTTCAATAGGAAGTTCTTGAACAAAGCAACTTAAGAATTTCATCATCTTCTTGTATCCCATAAGATTAAATCTTGAACCTTGTTGCTTTATATAAGGGAGATTTAAAGCTTATAGGAAAGTGATCACACGCCTGAAGATCTTGTTTCCTCACTTCCCTATCATCAAACACTCCATATTTCTTACAACTTCTACCCACCTTCTTCAGGATCATTTTGATCCGCGAATGTTCTGCTACAAGAACTACCTATTCCTGCAACAAATGTTAAATGGAAAAACATGCATGGTTTGAACGAACCGTATCAGAAGAATTTTTCGGGGGAAATCAAGTATGCATGCATGGTTGTACCTTGACATTTTTTTTTTTTTTTTGTCTCTCTTGATGAGCATTTTGATTTTCACATTCTCCTTTAGAATCAGATAGTAGTAGTATTCAGATAGTGCATGAAATTAAAACAGACAAGTGATCGTGGTTAGAGCTGCTACTCTGCTAGTAATGCATATAAATCTCAAATAAATTAAAGAAGACGACATTATATGTAAACATGCATTATGTACCCACCAAAAAGCCTGGAAATGCATTCCTAGACAAACTTGAAGAATTCCACTAGTGTCCACCAGTTTGCTGGGAAGTTGTTAAGAATTTCATCATCCTCAGCAGATTGTTTTGCCCTTTTTAGGCTTCTAACAGTAGCACCTAGCGAGACAAATTAAATGAATAGACAAAAATCAATACTAAGCTTGTAGACACATCAAAGAATATATATAAGCAAATAAAATAAAAAGAAAGAAATTAAATCATATGTAATGTCCAAATAAAATAATGTTAGTTGTATAGATTTGTACTGTGGTAGATGATGAGATCAACAGATCCTAGATAACTGCGGCTTTTGAATGCATGTGGTTTTGTGGCTAGAATATGTAGAGGAGATATCCCATCCTCATTGACATAATTGCCAAGTTCTGGAAGTTCACTTATTATCTCGAACGCCATTTCTGTTGAAGTAATTAAATTCAGAAGGAAGGTGTTACGTTAGTTAATTTGTACATACGTTTTTTGCAATCCCTGCAATTTTCAGAGAGCTGAGAAAATAAAAGACAATGAAAGACGCATGCAAGGGTAGGTGTTTGTTAAGAAGATGGAAATAGTGAGACACAGTACCCACCAAAGTACTCTCCAGAGAGAGCTGAGTGAAGAATAGTATCCCCATTTTCCTGTCTGCAAATATCAATTGGATTGTGGTTTTCCTTTTTGAACACTGTGAGCAGGAACTGAAACGCCTCCATCTTGCCACGATGCGCCGCCAAGAACAATGGCGTCTCCTTCTTAAAGTTGCGCTCTCTGATCAGCTCGTACGCTTTGCCTTGTTTTTGAGCTCTGGAGAGAATATGTGTGCAGATTTCAGTGTTTCCAAGGCGAGCAGCAAGGTGAAGAGGAGTGTCACCTATATCATTCTGCAATTTCAACACTCTCAATGCCTCATCATCTTCTAAGATATTGTTGAGTTTGTCTTGGATTAGGAATAAGTGTTTGTCTAAGAGTGAAACGGGTAGACTTATTGTATAGAGATTGGATGCCTATAAATATATTGGTTGTATCCCTAAAGGATTGTGTCACCACTATCATCATCACTATGAATAAGTTTATTGTTTCACTCCCGTGAATGTAGGCATATTGCCGAACAACGTAAATCTTGTCTTCTTTACCTTTCTGTCATTATTATTTTTCTTGTTCTTGTTAATCTCAACAGATATCCACCATGTCCTTGATCTGTAGCAGAAGGTTTTTGGAGCCTGCAGGGTGGTAGCAGTTGATGAGAATGTGGAGAACGGTGTCTCCTGATTTTGTGATTTTTGCCTCCCAAGCAACCACTCCAGAGTGGTGGTATATGGATGAAACTCTCTCCCATTGTTGCTTCATGCACGCTTCAAACAATGTGTTCTTCATCAATATTTCTTTTTCTTTTGTTTCCATTTCTGAGGTGATCATCATTTCTTCCGATCCGATTGATAGATCCTTCCTTGTGTATGTGTGCAGTGTGTGCGTGGAGATCGAAGCACAAATTAATTAACTGGCCTGCAGGAACACATGCACCATTCTAATATATATAAATAAATAAACGCATCCTCACATCCTGGCCTATACGTTGTGGCTCTGTTTTTTTAGTTATCTTTCAAGGAAAATAGCAAGGAACTCTCAGAAATAAAACCCTTTGCCACAAGTAGAGGAGAAAAATAAATCGTGACGATCTTTTTTTTTTTTTTTTTTTACCGCAAGAGTCCCAAAGCTCATGTTGGATGAGATAAGAGGTGGAGCAATACTATACAAATTCCCACATTCTACTCCATGCTTATATGTTAATATGTCATCCTTTGATTCATTCAAATAAATGAGGGTCACAGTTTCTATTACTTACTTTTCATCGTCCTCCAATAAAATTAGAACACATGACGAGAGTTTTAGTCTCTTTAAATTCTATATATCATTTTCCTTTATTTTTTTAGTATATTGTATGAGGATTGGATGGATTTGAGTGAAGTGGCTGCTTCCTTAAGTCCTAGAAGCAATAATATAATTTAGTTAAAAGAAATGCATTGGCTCGATCTCTTTAGTTGTTCCTTTTCTTTTCTTCTCACTTCCTTACATCCTAGAAGATATAATATAATTTAGTTAAAAGAAATGCATTGTCTCTCTTTAGTTCCGATCCTTTTCTTTTCTTTTGACTAAAGGAAGTAATATGTTCTCTGTAATTAAGTAATATAATATTCCTTTTGGGTAATTGTATCTGTAATCTTCCCTATACCTTTATTTAATTTTTTAAAGTAAAGTTGTATTTCATTAATTAAATCAAATTGAAGACAAGTACAACATAAATAAAATCAGGGGGAGACATGTCTACTTCTGGAAATTAGACAAAGAATACGTACATAACTATACTAAGTGAGTGAGTTACTTTATTCACAGATCTCTTAAAAAACATTATTTGTGCGTTTATTCAAAGTACTAACCAAAACCTTACCGTCCTGAATAATTATTTTGAACATTGATAAGTTTGTAATACTAGAATGAATTGACTGCACAACAATCTCGGAATCCATCTCAAAGATAACATTTGTCATTGCTTTATATTTTGAGTAATACTACACATATTCCCACTTTCTACCGTATTTTCTACTCTTTACTCAATTACATAACACACTTTGATTCATTAAAGAAAATATAGACCACAATTATTATTATTATTTTTTCTCCGTTCAATAAATCAAGACATATAATGTGAGTTTTTACTCCCTTGAAGTCCATTTATCATTTTCTTTTATGTTTTACCCAGCTTAGGGCCTCTTGTAAGGAGAGACCTTCCACCATTTAATTTGAGAATAAATTTCTACAATAACTTGAAGAAAAATATTTTGAAGATCTAAATGTTGAATTGTGGGTGATAAATATAAAATAATAAATGAATACTTTTAATCTTTCAATAACTTCTTGTTGGTCTGTGGGTAGGTCGTACATGCAGATGATTCTTTTGCTTTATGAAGTGATGGGTTGGTAGTATATTAGTATTTCTTAACTACTTGTGTTTTCATCACACGTGTCACAGACCTGCAAACTTGCCAGAATATTTATAGAACAAAAAGGGGGTCAAGAGGAAGAAGAACAGATTTGGGGGTAAAGAGAAGAAAAGGATTAGGTTTTAGATTGCTCAGCAATTCTGTAAAAACATAGCATAAAAAGAGAGAAAACAACATTCTCAAATAAATAAGAAAAACTAGGCTAGAAAACAAAGGAATCTTCAACAAACTCCACCATTCTCGCTTGGCTTCTGCTAGATGCTTTAAACGGCGTCGTCTGATGGTCCATTCAACTGCCTCCAACTGCCATTTGCAAAACGACGTCGTTCGGTTTATTAACTGTAACGGTCCCAACGGTTGCCGTCAAATGTTGTCGTTTAATTAAGTAATTCTGATTGCTTAATTCCGGCTCTAAACGACATCATTTCGGTCCCTCGACTTTCCTTCTTCACTTGACTTTATAACCTGCAATGCCTCCTGATCCTCCATTCCCATTCCCTCCTTCAATTCTTCCATTCTACCACTCAAGTTCATGACATTACCCCTTCCTTCACCAGATCCTTGACCCCAAGGATCAAAGTTGGGAAATTGCTTGGTGATGTGGTGATAATTTTCCCATGTAGCAGCCTCTGGAGGTAAGTTTGCCCACTGCACAAGGATTTCTACCACAGCTGCATTGTTCTTCTTAATCAGTCTTTTCTGCAGGGCTGCTATAGGTTGGGTGAGAATCATGCCTTCTAAGTCAGTGGAGGGTAGCTCTGACTGTGCCATAACTCCATCTCCCACTCTTTTCTTAAGCAAGGAAACATGGAATACAGGATGGATTGCAGCCTCTCCTGGAAGCTTCAATTTGTATGCTACTGGACCAATCTTTTCAATCACCTCAAAGGGTCCATAGTAACTTGCTGTTAGCTTGATGTTGGACCTTACAACCACAGTAGTCTGCTTATAAGGTTGTATTTTGAGATAGGCCCAATCTCCCACCTCAAAGCTTCTTTCAATTCTATGCCTGTCTGCTTGTTCTTTCATCCTGGCCTGAGCTTTTGAGAGGTTTTCCTTGAGAATGACAATCATCACAGCTCTTTCTCTAAACTAGTCCTGTCCTTCTCCTTCTGAGATAACTTTGAAGGTTAAATAGGGTGGAGTATAACCATATAGGGCCTGGAAGGGAGAACACTTGAGAGATGTGTGAAAATTGGTGTTATACCAATATTCTGCTAAATGCAACCATTTGAGCCAAGTTTTGGGCCTATGGAAAGCCATACACCTTAAATATGTTTCAACACACCTGTTTACCCTCTCAGTTTGGCCATCTGACTAAGGGTGATAGGAAGAAGTCATGCTCAGCTTAACCTGCATCAGCTTGAATATCTCTTTCCAGAATTTCCTCACAAATATCTTATCTCTGTCACTGACTATGTCCTGAGGTAAACCATGAAGCTTGTAGATGTTTTCCATGAATAGATCAGCCACCATCTCAGCTGTGAATGGATGTGAGAGAGCTAGGAAATGTCCATACTTGGTGAACCTATCCACTATAACCATAATGACATCTTTTCCCTGTGACTTGGGCAGTCCCTCAACAAAATCCATAGAAATGCCTTGCCAGACTTGTTCTGGGATAGGTAATGGTTGTAATAGCCCAGGGTAGGCTGTATTCTCCTCCTTGCATCTCTGACAAACATCACACCTCTTGACTGTTTCAATAACTTCCTTCTTCATACCCTTCCAGTAGAATATTTGCCTGAGCCTATGATAGGTAACTTGTTGCCCAGAATGGCCCCCCATGGGTGAATTATGCATCTGCTCTATTATTCTCTTTCTTAGGTCACCTGCACTCCCAACATACAATCTGCCTTGGTGCTTGATTAGTCCCTCACTGATAGTAAACAAGGACTCTGGATCTGCTGCAATCATTTGCTCAGTCAAAATTTTTGTGGCCAATTCATCCTCTTCATAACTCTTCAGAATTTCCTCCTTCCAAAGTGGCCTAGCCACTGAAATTGCCATTAGGTCAGCCTGCTTCTCATTTTCTCTCCTGGATAAGGCATCTGCAACACAATTCTCTATCCCCTTTTTATATTGGATCTCATAGCTTAACCCCAAAAGCATGGTAAGCCCTTTCTGTTGCATAGCTGTGGTGATCTTTTGTTCTAGCAAAAATTTTAGGCTTTGATGGTCAGTTCTAATAATAAAATGTCTCCCACACAAATAAGATCTCCATTTATCTATAGCATTGATAATGGATAAATATTCCTTCTCATAGATAGATAACCCTAGGTGTTTAGGGCCAAACCCTTTGCTATAGTAAGCTATTGGTTTACCCTCCTGCATAAGCACTGCCCCCATACCCTTATAACATGCATCAGCTTCTACCACAAAAGCTTTATTGAAGTCAGGAATGGCAAGGACTGGTGCTGAACATAAAACCATCTTGAGCTGTTCAAAAGCCTTTTCTGATTCATTACTCCACTGGAATGCATTCTTCCTTAGCATATCAGTCAGGGGTCTACTTAAGGTTCCATAGGACTTTATGAACCTTCTATAGTACCCAGTGAGCCCTAAGAATCCTCTCAACTCCTTGATGGTGGCAGGTTTAGGCCAAGCAGAGACAACAACAAGTTTCCCTGGGTCAGTTTGTAGCCCATTCTCAGAAATAATGTGTCCTAAGTACTCTACCTCCTTCTTAGCAAAGGAACACTTACTGAGCTTGGCTAATAGCTGGTTTTTCTTCATTATGTCAAGCACCTCCCTTAGATGTTCCCAGTGTTGGCTCAGTGAAGGGCTATAAACCAATATGTCATCAAAAAACACCAAGACTGTCTTCCTTATCAAGGGCTTGAACACCAAGTTCATGAGAGCTTGAAATGTAGCTGGTGCATTAGTCAATCCAAATGGCATAACATTGAATTCATAAAGGCCTTGATGTGTTCTAAAGGCAGTCTTATACTCATCACCCTTCTTCATTCTCACTTGGTGATAGCCAGCCCTTAAGTCCAATTTGGTGAAAACCTTTGCATTTGCCAATTCTGAGAACAAGTCCTCTATTAAGGGAATTGGGAACTTGTTCTTGGTTGTAATTCCATTTAGAGCTCTATAATCCACACAAAACCTCCATGTGTTGTCCTTTTTTGGCACTAAAAGAACTGGTGAGGCAAAGGGAGAGGAACTTGGGGAAATGATGCCAGCAGTCAACATCTCATCTACCATCTTCTCTATTGCATTCTTCTGAAGATATGAGTATCTATATGGTTTGGAGTGTACTGGCTTAGATCCTGGGATTAAGGGAATCTCATGGTCCAAAGATCATGAAGGTGGTAGGCTCTTAGGTTCATCAAAAATCTCCCGATACTCCTGCAAAATAGCAGTAAGCTCACTGGGAATTAGTTCTGCACTCTCAGA